TTAACCTTGCGCGCGCTAACACAGCCACAAACAAGTTAGTACCCGCACTAGCGTGAAGTCTTGTCCAACATGAACCCGTTATAAAGCAGAAATTGTTCCCGATACAGGTATATAACATACCTGACGAGTGTGTCCAATGTCTACCTTTATTATGGTCGTTGTAAAGCATAATGTAAGCTATCGAGCAAAATCAATGCCAGAGAAGACAGGAAAAGACCCCAAGACTCGACCAGTGTAACCACTTACAGCGACACAAAATACGCAGACTAAAAATGCGTAATTCTCAAGTGAAAAAACTCACTTTTGAAAAATCTAACTAATAAATTATTTAACGTCAATTCAAAATAATAGCTGACGATTAGTCCCTTAAAAACTGGTGAGATTTATACAGGTACCCCTGTAATGAACGGTATAAAAACCTTATAAATGAGTAAAGGTCAAAGTCGCGTGAAAACACTTAACATGTGTTCTACAGAACATCACAAGAAGTGCACACAATTGTTGAAGAACAGTGTTAAGTTTATGGCCTAGCGCCTGTACATGACCTACATTAAGGCCACAATTCACCTGTGTACCATCAGGACTACTTTAATCACTAAAATATATCTTAGGTTATCCCTTGTATATATTCTGTATAAAAGTCACACAGTGAGGATATTAGTGTCACTGGGTAAGGTGTACAAGACCAGTCCTCAATCTACACAAATCTCTGTCAGAGACGATGATCTGGAAAGAGAATTTAAAGCAAGAAGGTACAAGTCCTGCCAGGGTACCTACTGATGCTGGCAATCACCATCTTTTCAACACACACACACACACACACACACACACACACACACACACACACACACACACACACACAAAGCAAAAGTGCAAGCTCCATCTTGTGTGCTTCACACGCTTTCACCTTGTGACTTCCCTTGCCTCTCGCAGTTCATTTCCGCGAAGGAGTTAGCTAAGTGGAACTGAGCTACACACTACCAAGATGTTGAGAGGAGCTTGGAACTTAGCAGCTAAAGACGTTGATGAACCACAGGAACTTCAGTAAGTACTGTATATTTTTCAGTGTTAGGTTGAGAGAGAAACATATTGCAAAGCTTCAAGGGTAGATACCACAGGATCCTAGAAGCTAGAAATCCATATAAACTAGTCAGAGTTAATTTCTCCAGCAGACACAGCCAAGTGAGTATAACTAGGCGAGCACGCAATTTGGTGAATACACCAGGGTTAGAAATCAGTGAAACCGGTCGATAAGAATTAGAAGGTGGGACCAGGAGCTTTGCATCGACCCCTGTAACCATATCTTGGTAAATACAAATAGACGAAAGCACCACCACAACACGAAACTTTTCACTTAAAAAGACTGCTGTTTCTTACCCCTCCCGCCTCCCTTCCTAAGCATTTACCACCCTTCCTTGCCCCCTACCCCAGCAGTAATGTCCCATGACCAACACACCTCCCTCACCTCACCCTCACCCACGTAGCTCATTGGTGAGAGCATTCAACTAGATCGCATGGTCCCGGCTTCGATTTCTTCGAGCGGAGAAATATGTGCGAAAGTTTCTATACACCTCTGCTGCCCCTGCCCACCTAGAAATAAAAATAGGTACCTGTGTAATAGCAGACTGTCGGAGGTAGCATCAAGGGAAAAACTGTATGAAAACTGCAGTGTCTGCTGGAATGTAATATCCTGCATAAGTAATACTTCAGTGGTGTGTATATGAAAGTGCAATACCTGTTGTAGGTGTTTAAGGTATCAAGGTATCCGTGGCACCCCTACAGAGCGGAAGAAAGAGAGGCAGGGGACACAGTGGCAAGTTCCGCTCTGTCTAGACATTACGACAGCCTGCTGTGTGGGTGAGTGGAGTGAGGGAGAGTCTGGTGGAGTGAGGGAGAGTCTGGTGGAGTGAGGAAGAGTCTGGTGGAGTGAGGGAGAGTCTGGTGGAGTGAGGGAGAGTCTGGTGGAGTGAGGGAGAGTCTGGTGGAGTGAGGGAGTCTCTGGTGGAGTGAGGGAGTCTCTGGTGGAGTGAGGGAGTCTCTGGTGGAGTGAGGGAGTCTCTGGTGGAGTGAGGGAGTCTCTGGTGGAGTGAGGGAGTCTCTGGTGGAGTGAGGGAGTCTCTGGTGGAGTGAGGGAGTCTCTGGTGGAGTGAGGGAGAGTCTGGTGGAGTGCTGTAGTCTGATCAACCTGACAGGCCACGCAGTCCAACGTAGGCACCACAGCCTGGCTAATCAGGAACGGACTGAACTTTCCATAAAGACATCCAGGTGTCTGCTGGTAATTCCCCTTATGTGAGGAGGGTGTTGAAAATTCTTGGTCCCTTCACACTTACAGAGTTGTCTCCTGGGTTCTTACCGCGGCCCAGCAGGTACACTGCACCCTCTTCTGAGTATCTTGTTATCAAAGTGGTTTCAGTGTCAAGTTTTGAGGTCAAAAAATAAGAGTATATAATACCGTGACTGGAACAACACACAAACAACCCACACGTAGGAGAGTGAAACTTATGACGACGTTTCGGTCACTAGTTAATGGTCAAAACGTCAGACCGAAAAGTCGACATAAGTTTCATTCTTCTTTGTGCCGGTTCCTTGTGTTCTGGGACCATCTCCAAGTCTTTCCAGGAGTAAATTATGATGCATCTTTTTCACTCATATTCTAAGTTGAACAGCTCGAGGGACCTCAAGCAGTCCCAATAATTTAGGTGCTTGATTAAAGCACCTTTATGACTTCCGTTTTTGCCTGCCTTAAAAGGGGGTGTTAGTGTATATTAATATTCTATTCAAGAAGATCAAATGACTAAGTATCATGGCTTGGTCTCTCTTGTTTCGAAGGTTCGGTATATCCAACCAATCATGTTCCTTGCAGCTGTGGTATTAACTCTGTTGTGATTCTTGAATACGAGATCTTCTGACACTAACGCTAAGTCTCTCACATTGATCTTTCGCATAACTGAATGATTTCGAGTATTTTATACTCTGTTTTAGTTTTTATTTCCTCAACCTTTCCACAACGGAGTAACTGAAATCTGTCCTTATCAAACATCGTATTTTCGTCTGCGGCCCAAAGGAAGATTTCGTTTATATCAGTGTGGAGATTTGGTGTTCTCGGTGGATGCCACTCGCATACAAGTCGACCAAGGATGATAAATTACTATGATTTGTGTGCCTGATCGGATACAAGAACGAGAAAGATAACTGGATCTAGTACTGTGCCTTGCATAGATTTCCACAGTGGCACCCTCTGATTTTTGTTCACTGTTACTCTTTGGGTTGTGTTTCATCCCACTTTTAAACATTTTTCCTTTAGCTTGTATTCTAGGCGCTATTATTCAAAGGCTTCTGCAGAGTTCGTATACACTACGCATGAATTTTATTCATCTTCCAGTGCACCCAAGAACATGACGCCGCAAAGTAACTGCGTGAGGAAGGCTTGAGTTGCTCTAAACCCAAGTTGCCCTGAGCTGTGCCACTGCTGTAATTCCATGTGTTTAGCAATCTTGCTTCTTAAAACGTTCAAAGATTTTGATACTGTGGGTCCTCATTCATAGTTTTTCCATTTGCTTTACTGCTACCTTTGTGGGGTGGGGCTATATCAGTGGGTTTAATGACTGTGGGATGACCCAGAGGCATTAAGGGATACAAAGCTTTTGAAGCAAACTAATCCCAAAGCTGATGGACGAGTACTGCGGGGAGAATAAAAATTAGATTTGACGACTCGGGGAAGATACGAACCACGTTACGGGTGGGGGTTAGAACCCATGACTCACTTGCCATGGGTTCTAACCACCCGTCCCCTGGTTTGTTTGCAATCGTGTTATTACGATTTCACGAGTCAGAGAAGATACGGTTATTACAAGATACCAAGGGTAAATTAGACGGAGGACAGAGACACTGAAATGCGAAAACCAGGAAACACTGAAGGAAGTTAAAATGAAGCAAAGTCCGAGAGGGGTAAGGAAGTACTGTTTCAATCTCAGGTGACAGAGAAGGGGAATGAACTGGATGTGGAAGGACAAGCGAGTCTCGGCCACTCACTCTGGTAATCAAAATATACAACAAGTAGTAGGTGTCACTATCTAGGGTTGACAAGCGACTCTCGGTCACTCACTTGGAAGCAAACTTAATATACTGATATACAATAAGTTTGACAGTGCTCAGGAGACCAAAAAACAGTAATGGCATGGACCAAGCTTAGCAAGCAGAGTCTGGAGCCAAGCTTCCATTACTGCAAACACAAGTTTACATAATTCAGTGATAGTAGATGGAGGAAAATAAATCATACATGCAACACTTGGGTATCTTAATTGCAGAAACTTTTCGCCTGCACGAAAGGCTTTTTGAGTCGGATGCAGGAGAGTACAAGGTCAGTCTTCTGAAATAGCCCATTGTGCAGGCAAAACGTTTCGGTAATACAGACACCCAAGTGTTGCACGTGTGGTATATGCTTCAACTTCTTGTTATTCAATACCATCAATAATATCACAGTAGATGGTATAGGAATATCGACAAGTTGCAATAGAGAGAAACAAACAAGTAGCAATTGCAAACTCCATTAACGTATAGCCTGTAATCTTACCATTTCCAAATTTTATATAATATATATATATATATATATAATTTAATATATTTTATATATATATATTATATATATATATATTTATATATATATATTTATATAATATATATATTTATATAATATATATATTTTAATATATATATATTATATATATATATATATATATATATATATATATATATATTGCAAAACAACCACTGTGAAAGAACAGAGAAATTCCAAGTGCTTTCGTGACTACTCACATTATCAAGGAACAATGAAAGCGCTTGGAATTTCTCTATTCTTTCACAGTCGTTGTTTTGCATATTCTGAAATCACCTGTTTACTGTAATCTTATTGCATATATATATATATTATATATATATATATTATATTTATATCTAAGGAAGCTGAGAGTACAAATTTGTATAAGAAAGATGGTACTCACCTCGTTAAAGAAGTCGTCCATATAGCCAACATTACCGTCGACATTGACTGCCACATCGTCTGGACCAACGTCATCTTCGTCACTCTGCGCCTGAAACAGTTAACATGAGGCGTCACCATCTATAATACGGCAACAACAAATGACAACACTTGTAGTGAAGAAAACAATGAACGTCTACTTTTCTTAGTCAACCTATCTTCCAAACATTTCGCAGTTCGTGAGAAAATGCACGCTCGACATGGAACGATGTGCCCGCGCTGCCAAACCTACTCCACCCGTTTTCTTTAAATGAGTAATTATATAATACAGGTTAACCTAACCGAGAACAAATATTTAAATTTTCGGTTCATTTCCAGCTAGCAATTTTGCACGAAAAGCAATTCTTGAAGGTGGAAGTCAGTGCCTGATCAGCCGGGCTGTGGTTTGTACGTTGCAACGCGTGCAGACAGCAGTAATAGCCTGGTTGATCAGGCTGATCCACCGGGAGGCCTGATCAAGGACTGGGCCGCGGGGGCGATGGCCCCCCGGAACATCCTCCAGGTAACCAAATAATCTCTCAATGATCAGTACAATTACAACCTGACATTGCCGCACTCCTCTCTACATGCAAATTCATGCTAAAACATATTAATCAGGCATACATATTAATAAGGCAACCATTATATACCAATAAATATAATCATACTATATTAATTTATTTTACATCTATTAAAAAGCCATTAATGGTACAACATTAATAGTTGCATTTCAACGTACGAGGCTCCAGCAGGAACCGGGGGGGGGGGGGGAATTCACGCTATATTCTGAAAGATTTGACCGCTGAGGAAGCTGTTAATTTATGTGTATGAACCACAATAAACACATGTCACAGAGTGGGACAGTATTCTCCCATCAGCAGGGAGGGCTGATGGCTCTTCTACCCCTTCCCCCCAGCAGATTGGTCAGCTTGGCTGTTTGTGCTCGTGGCTTCCATGAGGAAATTGTATAGCTTCTAGAAAACGTTTATTTATCTTTTTTAGGGGAAATATTTCTGTTATCTGCTGGAGATAAGTTGAAGAGTCTTGGGCCACTTATGTTGACACCATAAACAACATAAAATGTGCAGTATACTGAATCAACAGATTCGTTCCAGTGACGATTCCTCTGGAACAAAGATGGCCGCCACCCACGTCATGCTGAACTCCGTACAACTTGCTGCTTACCTTTACCTATGATATACCTTTGAAGAGTTTCGAGAGTTTATCTACTCTCTGAGCCCGGCTATGGGCCAGGCTCGTCTGGTGCTTGCCTGGTTAACCAGGCTGCTGCTGCTGGAGGCCCGCTGCCCCACATATCCATCACAGCCTGGTTGATCTGACACCTGGTGAAGATACTTGTCTAGTTTCCTCTTGAAGGCTTCTACACTTGTTCCAGCAGTGTTTCTGATATCTTCTGATAAGATGTTGAAAAGTATGGGACCCGGGATGTTGATGCAGTGTTCCCTTATTGTCCCCACCGCACCCCTGCTCCTCACTGGGTTTCTTTTACACTTCCTCTCATATCTCTCACTCTAGTATGTTGTTATGGCAGTGTGCAGATTTGGGACCAAGCCCTCGAGTACCTTCCAGGTATATATTATCATGTACCTCTCTCTCCTCCGCTTATATGCAAGACCAATTGTGCCCACCACTTTCTAAGGGCATTGCAATAAATGTGGCCCAATAATCGAGGCAGAAGTCTGCTAGAAGACACTCGATATACCAATCCTCACTTCAGCCTCTGCTAGTTCACGAGGTGGACCCTCAACATGACCCGAGCACCAGCATAACTCCATAGTGTTGTACCCAATATTAAGAACGAGTTATTCTTGGATCTTCTTAACTACAAGGCGCATTGGAACACACTGCATCAGTTTGGTAAGAACACTCACTCAAAGTCAGTAGAGTGCAGCTCCATGGAACGATATCGTTCCAGACCTTGTAGCTGAACTCGACTCGAGAAATCGTAATGACAGATTGAGTGACTGACCACCTCAAATACTATTTCTCCAAGGCTGACTGATTACATCTTCGCTTCACTACTACATCTGTTGCCTCTGTATTGACTGAAGAAGCCTACTGTGTAGTAGAAACTTTCAGCAAAAATACCCAAGTGTTGCACATGTGTCATCATCAGTCTACACAGATGCTCTCAAGAGGGGATGGATGGAATGCCCAGCGCAAAGCTAAATTCCCAAGTGGTACATGAGATGCAGCGAAGAACAGGATGAAGAATAGACCTCACATCGTACAAGTCTATATAAGCAGACAACATTGTTTGTCCACCTCCAGGAGCAATATGAAAGCGAATTTAAATCTTCAGTTTCCGCAGCCACCTTCTATCTTCTTTAGACGAGGGTTGGAAAATGACAAAATACTTATCTGTCATACATGTCCATGAAAGTGGAACTTTCAACAAAACAAATAAAACGAGATTCTAGAAAATCCGAATGTTACCATTCCCTGGCTATCATATGTGAAGGATCTCTCACAACTATAATAAATCCTCTTCAAACCCATTACATCTACCAGGTCACACTCTTAACAACTAGCTAACAGCTCAACCGTATACTTATCCCTTTTCGAGTAATTTTTGCAACACATCCACATACAAGTGTTGTAATGCTCGAGGTACAACAAAGTACCTCGAGCATTACAACACGAACAAACTATTCACTCATGTGCCTGTCGACCTCGTATTAAACTCGTAAAATAAACTGATACTACCAGAGTACGCTACCACTTTCTATGGTCAAAATCACTGTTGCCAGGAATGCATGAGGAGTGCAACAATGCATTTTCTTTCAATGATTAAAACTTCAGCCAAAGTAGATGTAGAATGGGTATCCGATTCTCAACCTCAGGACACATGGTACACCTACTATATACTGATGATATTTGTTGTCAGGAATGAAGTATATTAAGAGCTTGATATTTTCTTGGAAAATTTATATGATGTAGTTACCAGCATAAAACTGGACATAGAGTAGGGAAGATGACAACGAGTTGCTCTTCCTAGATAATATTTTAAAGGGACTCCGTCATCAGAAACAACCATCTCTGCCGTAAACAAACTATTAATCAGCTGCACTTCTTACGCCACCGTTCGGATTAATTTTAAAAAAGTAGTATTGAGATTTTTTTAATCACACTTTGATTAAGCAGTCTACAACACTTGCAAGAAGTAACAGTACCATCAGTGTACAATTCACGAGGATAAACCATTCAGATTTACACAAAAATGGTAAGCACAACCCGATACTATAAAGCCATTAATAAAAATAAAGGCAGCAGCATGACAGCTGACAGTAAACTGCTGATCTCTTAAAAAAAATGTTGAACATTTAAAATGTAATTCCTACTCATACCACAAAAGTACTTCAGTACCCCCAGCAATAGACGATTGCATAACCAGTGGGTTAACATAAGCCACCTCTCATGTACCCGGTGTATGCGAAATTCCTTGCAAGAACCGTAATCAATCATACAGAATAAACAGGTAAAAACTGAATTATTCGAGTACCTAACTACCAGAGGTGTTCCGTGGCTTCGAATGGTAGCGCACCCACCCACACACACACACACACACACACACACACACACACACACACACACTCTCCGAGTGTCCAGGTTCGATCCCCAGCACGGGTGGAAACACTGGGCATCTTTCCTTACGCTTGCTATCCCTATTCACCTATCATTAATTAGGCACCTGGGTGTTAGTCTACTGTTGTGGGTTGCATCTCAGGGGTAGTAGCATACCTAAGATAGGACTGGGATTTGAAATCAGCTGATATAGGATAAAAGCTTTTAGCCTACTCAACAGATGTGTAAAAAAAAGAAAAATGGGAGGATCTTTCAATTATATATTACATAGTTTGAATGGAAGAAACTGGTTAAGACAGCGTTCAGTCACTGTTGTTACAATTGCTCTTCGTCTGGTGGTACTAGCTTCTGCACCTCACTTACCTCCTCCACTGGAATTGCCTCGGTAATTCAGCCGTTAAACGAAAGTTCTTAATCTCTCGTAACTTCCTGGTCACACTCCCAGAAACTACATAAATAAAGTAACATTACATTGTGTCTTAAAAAAAAGAGGAAGTAATTAAATAGGTTGGGGAAAAAAAACCACAGCACACACTGAAATGACCACGCCCACCTATCATAGTGACGACCACCACCACCACCACGCCCATCACCGCAAGAGAGACAGAGAACATATATATATGTATGTCGTGCCGAATAGATAAAACTTGCGATTTTGGTTTAAATAGCAAAGCTCTTCTTGCCGAATAAGGCAAGCGAAAATTTGGGTATGCAATAATTTCTGGACCTAACGAAAAAAAAAAGTTTCATTGAGTTTGTTTATTATTAAATTACTGTCAACTTATCTAGTGTATATTTATTTGGCTTCGGCTAAATTAAATTGCTCTTGTTATAATAAGGTTAGGTACGTTTTCTAAGGTGCTTTTGGTACAAAATTCTTAATTTTTACATTAACATAAATGAAAAAAAATATATATCTTTAAACGTATAAGAGAAAATTTTAGAAAGGACTTAATTTCTCAGCCGTTACATCTCTCATTGTTCATTAGGGAGGATAATAATTGTTGTAGGGTTTTTAAGGTTCTCTGTGTAACTGTCTTATCTAAACAAACCATACCACGGGCAGGGATAGAACACGCGGGTTCTATCCCCACCCGTGGTATGGTTTGTTTGCAATCGTGTCATTACGATTTCGTGAATCATGTCTTATCAACTTAGTTGTTTAGTGAGCTCCTCTGCTGTTGTTAATGGTGCCTTGTACACGAGGGTAATTACCAGGCGCTTATTTCAAGAACTTTCCACCATATCACTTGACGAATTCAACAGTTTAGTGCGAATTGCGAATCACTAACATGCAAGCTAACTCTCCCTGCAACTTCTCTACAGTGGGTCTCTTTCTACGAGTTTCTCTTCAGTGGATATTTTTAAGAGTTTACTCTCTCTAATGGATCCCTTAGAATTCTTACACTAGCTCATTATGAATTTTCAGCGTGCGCACTCACGCACGCACGGACGCACGCATGCACG